AAGGGGTTGATTTTGATGAGACCTTTGCACCTGTATCCAGACTGGAATCAATCAGACTCCTATTGGGAATTGCTTGTCTCCTGAAGTTCAAGTTATTTCAGATGGATGTAAAAAGCGCCTTCCTAAATGGGTACTTAAATGAGGAAGTCTATGTGGAACAACCTAAAGGATTTGTGGATCTGAACTATCCTGATCATGTCTTCAAATTGAGGAAAGCTTTATATGGCCTGAAACAAGCTCCTAGAGCATGATACGAAAGGTTGACAAAATTTCTCTCTGACAAAGGATACAGAAAAGGAGGCTTGGATAAAACCCTTTTTGTCAAAAATGAAGGAGGAAAGATAATGGTAGCTCAAATCTATGTTGATGACATAGTGTTTGGGGGAATGTCAGATCAAATGGTTAAACATTTTGCTGACCAGATGCAGGCTGAATTCGAAATGAGCCTCATGGGAGAATTGACCTACTTTCTTGGACTGCAAGTCACACAGATGGAAGACTCAATTTTTCTGTCTCAAAGCAAGTATGCAAAGAACATTGTCAAGAAGTTTGGAATGGAGAATGTCAGTCACAAAAGGACTCCTGCACCTACTCATTTAAAGCTATCCAAAGATTCAAGTGGGGTTAAGGTGGACCAAAGCCTGTACAGAAGCATGATAGGAAGTCTGCTATACTTAACGGCCAACAGACCTGACATTGCTTTTGCAGTTGGAGTATGTGCAAGATACCAAGCTGATCCCAAAGTCAGTCATATCAACCAAGTGAAGAGAATTTTGAAGTATGTAAGTGGAACTTACAACTATGGCTTGTTGTACTCTCATGGTTGTGAACCAACTCTGACTGGTTACTGTGATGCTGATTGGGCTGGAAGTGCTGATGATAGAAAGAGCACCTCTGGAGGATGTTTCTTCTTAGGAAATAATCTGGTCTTCTGGTTCAGCAAGAAACAGAACTGTGTGTCTCTCTCTACTGCTGAAGCTGAATACATTGCAGCTGGTAGTAGCTGTTCTCAAATGATCTGGATGAAACAAATGCTTACTGAGTATAATGTCACACAAGATGTTATGACATTGTACTGTGACAATCTGAGTACAATCAACATTTCCAAGAATCCTATTCAGCATAGCAGGACCAAGCATATTGACATTAGACATCATTTTATCAGAGATCTTGTAGAGGAGAAGACGATTAAACTGGAACATGTTGCCACTGAACTACAGCTGGCTGACATTTTTACCAAAGCACTTGATGCAAATCAATTTGAAAATTTGAGGGGCAAGTTGGGTATTTGCCAACATGAGGAAATGTAGCAATTAATTTTGCTTAAAACAAAGGATGAAGGAGTTTTTTGTGTTAAGTCTATTTTGATTGGGTTAATCATATGTTTTCCTATTTCTTTCAAAATTGTTAAGAAGTTGAATAGACACTCATTTACCTCCTTCCTCTCTCGGCTCTGCAACAATCCCCATTCTCTCAATCAAAGATTTCTCTCTCGTTGTTACTGGTTTTCTAAGACTCTCAAAATGTCTCAACTATCCATGACATCATCCTCTTCCAAGACGACTGTTTCATCTGCATCCTCTGATCGAGATCCTAGGGCAATCACAACATGCATGGATTCTGAAGTCCTGGAGATTACTCCTCTTAGAGAACTGGCAGCTAACCCCTCTAAGGTTAAAAAGCTGAGAACAAGGCATGCAGGAAGGTCTCAAGCTACTTCATCTGGTAATCCCTCTAAACCATCATCTTCTGTTCCCTCAGGAATAGCAAATAGGGAAGGCACAACTTATGTTCATCAAGCAATAGCTAGACTTGTTACAAGAATTCTGAATGAGAACCACTCTGTACCTGGCATTTCTGTTCCTTTAAATCAAGAATCTGCTAGTCCAAATGTTGAAATAAATCCAGATGTCTCTAAGAATGTTGAGACACCGGATGACAACATTCAAAAATCATCTGAAAATCTTGATCATATCCAGAACCCTTCAGAGAAGGATGTTGAACCCCTGATTATTGATGTGGATGAAGAATACTCTGACAATGACCTAATTGCAAATTTCAACCCTAGCATAGCTAGGAGGATGATGAACAGAAAAGGTAAGCAGGATGCTGCAAAATGTCTGACCAAAGAGAAGACTGCTGATGTTGCTCATAAGAAAACCAGGTCTGAAGGCAAGACTGGTGTAGAAACTGTGAAGACTGGATTGTCCAAAGGGAAGGTGAAAACCCGAGTACATGCTGGTAGTCTCTCAAAGCCTGTGAGACAACCAATAGCAAAGAAAAGGAAAGAGCCTGAACCTTCTGATTCTGATGAGGAATCAGAATTTAAAGTTGATGCTGAAGACATTTCTCTCAGAAGGAAACTCCCTTCAAGCAAAATGGCTAAAGTTCCTGAAGTCCCCACTGACAACATTTCTTTTCACCACCCTGAAAATGCCAACAGATGGAAGTATGTTTGTTTAAAAAGAATAGCCTTGGAAAGAGAACTGAACAATGGTGTCATGGAATGTAAGGAGATCATGGACCTAATCAAAACTGCTGGACTAATGAATACTGTGGTAAAGTTTACCAACTGCTATGAAAATCTTGTCAAAGAATTCATAGTGAATTTATCTGATGGAAGATCAACTGACTTTAAATGTGTCTATGTGAGAGGAAGAAAGGTTAATTTCTCTTCCTCTGAAATAAACAAATTCCTAGGAAGACCAGATGAGGCTTGCCCTGAACTAGAGGTTACTGACAACCAAGTATGCCAAACCATCACTGCAAATCAAGTCAAGAGCTGGCCCTTAAAAGGCAAGCTGAATGCAAGCAAGCTAAGCATGAAATTTTCCATCATGCACAAGATTGGTGCAGCCAACTGGGTTTCCACCAACCATAAATAAACCATCTCCACAGGATTGGGAAGATTCATTTATGCTGTTGGAACCAGGACAAAATTTGACTATGGCAGGTATATCTTTGATCATACTTTAAAACATGCTGGAAGCTATGCTGTTAAAGGCCCTATTGCCTTTCCCTACCTCCTATGTGGTATTGTCCTTGCTCAGTATCCTGACATTGTAGTGGAAAGAGATACTGTATGCAAAAGAGCCCCTGCTCTTGGGTTGCACTATAAGCTATTTCAGGGAACTCATGTTCCTGACATTGTCATGACATCAGCTGAGACATCAACTGTCAAAACTCAGTCCAAGAAATCTGATGTTATAGCTGTGCTGAAGGAAACCTGCAAAGAGCTAGAGACAAGGAAAAGGACTCTTGAGAACCTAATTGCTAGACTAGAACAGGAGGAGACTGAAGGACAAAGAAAGGAAGAGGATGCTGCTGAAGATCAGCTTAATGCTGAAGATAGTGCCTCCTCTGAAGATGACAGTGCTTGAAGATCAGTGGAGTGTCAAGCTTGCTGCTGGTACCTGTTGCTGCAAGTGATTTCATACTTTTTGTTGTTTTTATTATTCATTTTGGTTGACTGTATAACCTAAAAGTACATGTATCTTTGGCCTATTTATGGCTAAAGAGGGGGAGAAGATTATGTGTTAATTATTCTTGGTAGACATTAATTTTTCTGCAGACATATTATTTCTGCTGCTCTCTATTCTCTGATTGTTTAGGGGTTTTAGCCAAAAATTTGTCAAAGGGGGAGTTTGTAAGTGTTTAGTTATTGGCATGTATTTTTGGTAAAACCAGGTGTGTGAATGTCATGACTGATGTCATAACATTCTGGGTTATTAGGTACTTTATGCAGGGGAAAAATGGCATACAGTAGCTGCTCTTTATGAGTGTGTATCTGAGCATTTTGCAATGATCACATTTATTACATTCTACCAAAATCAGTAAACAGGATTTCTGTTGTCATAACCAATGTTAAGACATCCTGTACTGATCTAACAGTTATGCAGTTTGGTTAATTCTGAGATTTTTCAGGAATTTGGTTCATACATTCCAGAACAGAATCTCACGTGGACTTTAGGTTAACTTAGCTCAACCCTAATCTGGTTGATAAAGTCATGTGACCAAGTCTTGAGGTTAACCCTAATTAACCCTAGCTTTTCGTGGAAGCCCTAACTGAAGAAACAACTGCATATATATTCAACAGGAAGGCTGTTGGGAAAATTAACTTTTTGACAGAAGATCAACTAGGGGCTGTATAGTTTTAACAACTGTAATCCAAGCAAGTATCATTGTGATAAGTGACTTGGAGTAGGTTTTGATTGTAAGGGTTGTGTATCACTCAAAACTTTGAAGCACGAGTGTTTGTGTCACTTGATTAAAGCTTTGAAGCAAGGTCAAGTTAGGTTTATGTATCACTCAAAGCTTTGAAGCACGAGTGTTTGTGTTACTTGATTAAAAGCTGTGAAGCATAATCAAGTGTATGTTCTGAAGAGTGTCTTCACTATTTCATTAGTCAATTGTTTAGTATCACTGCTGTGATTGAGGGGGAGTGAGTAGGAACTCAGGTTTAAGTTGAACTTAGATTGAAGTTGCATTGGGTAGGTCTTAAGTGAAGGAGATAAACTGGTTGGTTTATTCCTGAATTAATATCTCTTATAGTGAATTTCCTCTCTGACTTGGTATTCTCCAGAGTAGGTGTTGTTTCACACTGAACTGGGTAAACAATTGACTGTGTTCTTTACTGCTTTTTGATTTGCTGTCTTATAGAAAGTCAGATACAGTGTCATAACATTCACTGTGACATTGAGTATCTGCTGCCAGAATTTCACAATGGTTGAAGTGTAATTTAAGTTTAGGTGATTTAGTTAAGTTAGTTGTCATAACACAAGTAACTAAGTTGTTTACGTTGTTGGGTGTTATTTGTATTTGTCAGTATAGCTAGTGTTGTAATCATTTGATTTCAATTTCATAATATATTTATTAGTTATTTGAAATAAATTATTTTGTCCACTAATAAATAACTAACCGTGTCCCACGTGACAAATAAATTAATAGCAGTATATAAGAACACAATAGCTCAAATCATTGAGGACATTAAAACCAAAAAGATGGGGTTCTTAGCATTGTTGTTGCTGCTTCTGCTTCCTGTTTCAAGTGCAGTGGATGATCTCTCTCCATTCCCTACAAACTTTCTGTTTGGAACAGCTTCTTCTTCTTACCAGGTATTATTAGTATACAGTTTATTAATCCAAATTAAACTCAATTAATTTATATATTAAATCAATCTTGTTACACAGTATGAAGGTGGTTATAACATTGATGGTAAGGGGCAAAGTAATTGGGATAACTTCACTCATGGAGGTAACTATTTTTCTAATCTAAGAATTAAATGTTACTAGTTGATTATAAATCGTTTGAGAGAGTTAGCAGGTAGAAGTATGATAGTGGATGGAAGTAATGGGGATATTGCGGTTGACCATTATCACCGTTACAAGGTTCGTACCTTCTTCTACTATCATTTTAAACAGAAATAGAAACTACTTAAAAAATAGTTATATCTTATAATTCTATATAGTTGAATGATAATATAATATATACCCATGCGACCAGCGTGTACAACATGCACATGCGTTGCTATTATAATAAAATAAATGAAAATAGTCAAAACAAAATACTATCATAAAACATGAAAAATGCCTACAAAAAAATATAGAATAAAAAAAAATCACTACTTACAATCAAAGTATTAAAGGAAATATATATGTATAATTTTAATTTTTTAAATAATATTTTAGTTAGTTTAATATTTACTATAAATCCTTTTATCAGTTGAAACTTAGTTAGTTTAGTATTTACTATAAATCCTTTTATCAGTGGAAACTTTCAATTAAGTTTATTTATTTTTGTTAAAATAATTATAAGTTAAGTCAAATAAATTGTTTTAAACCGTCTTTCACTTGAAAATCACCTACTAAAACAATACATTCCATTTCAGATACTCATTCAATTTTTACTTTACTGTAATTTTGGCCTTCTGCATTTGATTGAACTCGTGTTTAAGACAAAAACAAATACAATTTTGATAATTTGAAAATGTGAATGAAAACACAGGAGGATATAGATCTATTGGAAGCTTTGAATGTAAATAGTTACCGACTCTCTATATCATGGACAAGAATTCTACCAAGTATGCTTCTGTTCTTTGCGTTATCAATATCTTTGTATAATGTTCTAATTATTAACAAAGATTGATTGTTGTGAATTAGAGGGTAGATTTGGAGAAATCAATTGGGCTGGCATTGACTTCTATAACAAACTATTTGATGCTCTACTGCTCAAAGGTATTCAACCCTTTGTTACTCTAAGTCACTATGACAGCCCACAACAACTCGAGGACAGATATGGAGGATGGCTAAGTCCCCAATCACAACAAGATTTTGCATTTTATGCAGACCTATGTTTTAATAAATTTGGCGACAGAGTTAAGTATTGGGTCACATTCAATGAGCCAAATAACCAAGTACCACTAGGTTACCGTTCCGGCATATATCCCCCATCTCGTTGCTCTGGCTCATTGGCAATGGCTAACTGTAAAGAAGGTGATTCAGAAAAAGAGCCTTTTATAGCAGCCCATAATATTATTCTGTCACATGCAGCTGCTGTTGATCTCTATAGAACCAAGTACCAGGTAATCTGTTGTTTTGTATTTTCATATATCTAGCACCGACACTTCAGATTCTAATGTCTCACACTCACATAACACTTACTCATATAGTACATTCAATCATTTATATTTTACCAAGTTACTATCGGTGTATGCGTGTCAGTATTATATCAGGTGTCTATATCTAATGTTTATATGTATGTGTATGTGTGTGTGTCAATGATAAAACAAGACTCAGCATAAGTATTCAAATTGTTGTAAAACTTAGTATTTTGCAACTGATACATCAGGTTGAGCAAAGAGGAAGAATTGGTATAGTGCTTCAACATGAATGGTATGAACCAATGAGCAATTCAACAGCTGATAAATTGGCCACCGAAAGAGCAAGATCATTCACTTTCAATTGGTATGTTCTCCTTTAAATACTAATATAAAGCTTTTTTCTATTGATTCACTCCAAGTTTAAGGATGAAATCCTCATACTAAATAAACAATTCATAAAAACACAGGTTCTTAGATCCAATCATATTTGGCAAGTACCCCAAAGAGATGGAAAACATTCTTGGAAACCTCTTACCGAAATTTTCAACCAACGAGAAAAAGAAACTCAAGAAAGGATTGGATTTTATTGGCATAAACTACTACACAGCTTCCTATGTTCAAGATTGCATACACACCAAGTGTGATTCGAGATTTGGGATTTCAAGAACAGAAGGTTCATACATGACTAGCGGAGACAAAAATGGTATCTCAATCGGAGAATCCGTAAGTATCCTTCAAACTTATTATAGTGTTCTGATATCACATTTTCCCTCAAGCTTCACCATTTTAATCTCATGTTGCAGACTCCTTTTAGTTGGTTTAATGTTTATCCACAAGGCCTGGAGAAAACTGTTACATATGTGAAAGATAGATACAACAATACTCCAATGTTCATTACTGAAAATGGTAAGCAAGCAATTATTATTAATGTTTTTTTAGTGAGAGTAATTTTATGTGTGTTTCTGATAAATTCAAACATTCTATAGGGTATGGCCAACAAGACGATCCAAATTTCACCTTGGAAGATCAAGTTAACGATTTGAAGAGAATAAAGTACATGGAAAATCACATAGAAGCCTTGTCAATAGCAATAAGGTAAGAACAAAACAGAGACCAATAGGAAGGATTCCAATTTTCACTCTTATCATTTTGTTACATGTTAGAACACATTTCTTATTGTTCGGTTTGACGTCCAACCGTGTGTTGTTTGTTTGTTTAAGGAAAGGAGCGGATGTGAGGGGATACTTTGCATGGTCCTTGCTTGATAATTTTGAGTGGATATATGGATACACAGTAAGATATGGATTCCACCATGTTGATTATGCTACTTTGAAGAGAACTCCAAGATTATCTGCAACCTGGTACAAGCAATTCATTGCAAATTATACACAAACTAAATTCATTGGGATAGATAAGTTGGTGCAAAGTACATGAGGCAAAAAAAAAAAACTATGATTATCTCATGTGAACCATTTGCTGTTATTTCTCTTCCATAAAATTGACAGGATTTCATCTCTTCAAAAATATCAATAAAGGTTAATTGATCATATATGGTTGGAAAAGTGATATTAATTTGACCAATAATTGCAACCAAATCAAATCAACAAAACATGTTGACACACAAGATCAGACTCATTACATAGAATTTTTGTTTGCTCTTTTCAATACCCTTGGTGATTTGCAAAGTTGAATTTCTCTTCCATCAAGTGTTCCGTAATTCTTTATCAAAAAATCGTTTTACATACTTACTATAAGTTATTCAATATGGCCTTTTTAATTTAGACTCTTAAAATTGATGTCAAAGTATTTTTTAGAATTACTTCATTTCAAAGAGATAACTATCCCATAACACGCCGATGAACTCCTCCTATACATTTTTTCCCTTTCCTTGATTCAATCTTTTTCCTAACTTTTTGAAAATGATTTTGTTGGAATTGTAACAAGGATTTTGCTGTATGTGATTTTTGAGTCTGGGAGACCAAGTCTGCATATTACTTTGTTATCTGTTCATTTAGAGAAGTATTCTAAATTAAACTGTTCTGATGTCGAAGAGAAGGTATATGTTGAAAGTAATTCCTTGTATCAAAACAGTTTGTTCGACAGAAATAAGGAAGTGTCAAAAAGATTGTATTAAAGTGTGGAAATAATTTGTTACACACAGATTTGATTTAGATCTAAAATAGATAGATTTTTATTTAGGTCTAAAATAGATAGATTTGATTTAGTTCCAAAATAGGTATTTTGGGCTTTTATAATTTTGGACTTTGGCTTATGGAGCAAAATAACCTAAATTTATAAATAGAGGGAGTAACCCTTATTTTTAGCAATCAAGTCAATTCATTGTATTCACAGAATTTGCAGTTGTAAGTGAATAATAAAGTTTTCTACATTTTGTGAACAGAGAGAAACTCTGCAGAAAATAATTGTTTTCTAATTTTTTCTTTTCATATAATTCACTGTCATTGTTTGATGATATCAATATTGTTCATCAAGATTGGTAGAAATTTATCATAGATTTTGGTAGATTTCCAACATCTGATATCAAGAGCTCCGGTTGAGTGATTCAAGGGAAGAACGATCGAGGAAGAAGAAGAAGAAATTCACAATGGCGATGAATTAGGCTAACGGAAATTTTCCAGCAAATCTCTCAATTCTTAAAGGTGATAACTATGAGAATTGGTGTAAACAAATGAAGGTTATATTCTATTTTCAAGGTCTTTGGGATCTTGTGAAACATGGATTAGGACCGCTTGATGAAGACGCTTCAGAAGAAGAAGAAGAAGCAGAATACAGAGAATCGAAGAAGAAGAATTATAAAGTTCTCTTTATAATTCACCAATGTGTCAACCCAGACAATTTCGAAAAGATTAGTGATGTTGAATCTGCAAAAGAAGTCTGAGAAATTATGAAGAAATCGTTTGGAGGCGCTGAGAAGGTGAAGGAGGTGAGGTTACAAACTCACAAAAGAACGTATGAATTGCTTCAGTTGAAAGATAGCGAAAGCATATCTGATTTCTTCATTAGGGTTACGAAACTAGTGAATCAAATCAAGAATTGTTGAGAGATGTTAACAACAAGAGCTGTTGTTGCGAAGATCTTAAGATCTTTGGCTCCGAAGTTCGACCATGTGGTAGTTGCAATAGAAGAGTCGAAGGACATGTCATCTATGTCGAAGGAAAAGCTTCACGGTACGCTTGAATCTCACGAACAAATAATGGCTGAAAAAGTTGTAGGCAAGTCGAAGAGTGATGTGGCTTTGCAGGCTCAATCAACAAAAGACAAGAAAGGAAAAGGAAAGTGGTTCGACAACAAAGGTAAAGGTGGCTACAACAATTCGACTGGTAGAGGAAATAACACGAAAAAAATGTGTCGAATAAAAAAAACAATACCAAGGCAACCAAAGAGGTGGTGTTACGAATAGAGAAAGAGGTGGTGGTCAAAAACCTGACAAGAGTCACATTCAGTGTTTCAATTATCAAAAGTATGGTCAATATTCGAGTGATTGTCCAGAAAAGCGAAAGAATCAAGAAAGTGATGCAAAGTTCGCAAAGTATGAAGAAGAGGAGATTGCTGATGGTTACAACAAAAGATGAAGAAAAATTCAAGGATCAATGGTATTTGGATTCAGGATGCTCGTCACATATGTCTGGAAGGAAAGATTGGTTTGTCAATCTGAAATCCTCACTGAAGAATATGGTACAATTTGCAAATGACAATACTCTAGCAGCTGAAGATATTGAAGATGTTTTTATTATGAGGAAAGATGGAAAAATGTCAGTAATTTTCAATGTGTTGTACATACCAGGCATGAAGAGCAATTTTTTCAGCATATGGTCATTGGTCGAAAATAACTATAAAGTGTCGATCAAATACAAGATGATAAGAGTCGTCGACGCAAATAAAAGGTTAATCTTGAAGGCTCTCATGTCTCAAAATAGAACCTTCAATATTGAACTTAATGTGATGGAGCACAAGTGCCTTTCGACTGCAGCTAGCAAAGATGAATGAATATGGCACTATCGACTAGGTCATCTTAACTTCAGAGACATCAGAGATTTAAAGAGAAGAAATATGATTTCAGGATTGCCAGAAATAGACATTTAAATGAGGTACGTGAGGAATGTGTGCAGGCGAAGCAACACAAAAATAGCTTCAGCAATGATGCAAGAAGCAGGTTGAAGGCTATTCTCGAAGTCATATACTTTGATGTATGTGGACCAATCCAGGTGGATTCGATGGGAGGTAAAAAATACCTTGTTACATTCGTAGACGATTATAGTAGAAAACTGTGGACATATCTGATCAAGAATAAAAGTGAAGTGATTGAGGTATTTTTCAAGTTTAAGTCTATGGTCGAAAGACAAACTGGTCGAAAGCTCAAAGTTTTGAGAACTGGTGGTGGTGGAGATCATGTGTCGAAATACTTCGATAAGTTATGTGAAAAAGAAGGGATTATGCATGAGGTGGTGCCACCTTAAACTCCACAGTAGAATGGAACTGCAGAGAGAAAGAATTGAACCATCATGAATATGGTGAGAAGTATGTTAAAAGGTAAGAATTTACCTAAAGAGTTTTTGGATGAAGCTGTGTCGACTGCAACATATATTTTGAACAGATGTCCTACGAAGAAGCTAGAAGGAATTACTCCAGAAGAATATTGGTCTAGTGTGAAGCCTAGCTTGAGTCATTTGAAGGTATTTGGATCTATTGCACATAGACATGTGCCAGATCAGTTGAGAAGAAAACTTGATGACAATTCGAGTCAAATGATTCTAGTTGGATATCATTCGACAAATGGTTACAAGTTATTCGACCTAGTGAACAAACAGATTGTGATCAGCAGGGACGTGATTATAAATGAGCTTAAAGAATGAGATTCAACTGAAAATGTCAAGAAAGATTCAGTAAGAATCTTATTCGAAGAACCAACAATTAAAGTCGAAAGAGAAGTTCGACAAGAGGAACCAACAGTTATAGATTAACCAAGTACAAGCAGACCTTAAAGAACAAGACACATGCCTGAAAGGTTGCAAGATTGTGTGATTACATCAGATGATGTGATAAATAATGAAGGTGAGTTGATATATTATGCTTTCTATGCAAATGTCAAACCTGTCAATGAAGCTGAAGCATTGAAGGATTCGAAGTGGGTGAAAGCAATGAACGAAGAAGTGAAGTCTATCGAAGATAACAATACTTGGTCACTTATCGAATTGCCTCAAGGCAATAAGACAATTGATGTCAAGTGGGTATACAAGTTGAAGATGAATCCCAAAGGGGAAGTAACTCTACACAAAGCAAGGCTTGTGGCGAAAGGATTTCTCCATGAAGAAGGAATAAACTTCGATGAAGTTTTTGCACCTGTGGCTAGAATCGAAATAATCAGGTTGGTTGTTGGTCTAGCAGAAATAAATAGTTGGCACATATATCAGATGAACTTGAAATGTGCATTCCTGAATGGACCCTTATACAAAGAGGTTTATGTTAAGTAACCAATTGGGTTTGTGAAAAATAACAAAGAGAGAAAGGTGTACAGGCTGCATAAAGCGTTGTATAGATTGAAACAAGCTTCAAAAGCTTGGAATAAGAAAATATATAGTTATCTAAGGGAGAAGGAATTTGTGAAGTGCACAACTGAACATGGAGTATATGTAAGAAGGAGCAATAGTGAATTTCTTATACTATGTTTCTATGTCGATGACTTTTTGATAACAGGTAGTTGCAAAAGTGAGATCGAAGACTCCAAAGGTGATCTCAGCAAGGAATTCAAAATGTCTGATCTGGGTGACATTTCATACTTCCTTGGTATCGAATTCTAAAAGAGTAGTAGATGTATGATGATGCATCAAAGAAGATATGCATGAGAAATTCTCAAGCAATTTGAGATGGAAGAATGTGAAGAAGTGAAAAACACAAGAAAGGGGGTTGAATTGTAAAAACTGGAAATCAATTGCAATGAACACGATATTTTTATCCTGGTTCGTTTGATCTCAAACTACTTCAGTCCACCCGTCAAGGTGATTTCGCCTCTCTCCAACGAGGTCTTAATCCACTATATTCAACTGAATATTACAATCTGCTTTAACAACTGCTAAAGCCTTCTTGATGCAAACCACAGACCGGTTTGTCAAGGAATTACTTTCTTACAAAGAATTGAAATCTAGGTGTGTGAATGTTTTCTACAAAACTGTTTATCACAACTGTGATACTACACAACTTAAGCTTATGGAAACTAGATTGCTAAAATAATTGAGTAAGGAATTTTGGAGATTTTAGCAAACTGAGAGTGAGGAAGATGATGAATAACTTTTAGGCGTGTAGATTGGTGTAGAGCATTAGCCAATTCAATCTTCATTGACTTGTTTATATAGCATTAGAATTAGTGAACGTTGGAGCAATAATTCTGATTCAATGCCAATAACAATCTTTCCTTA